ACAAGCTCTTAGATTTCGTTATGGCCAAACATATTTTTTGCCCTTTTCCCCTTTTGTATAAAAAGATTAGTGCGTTTCGACCCTTTTCGTAGGTTTTCAGGAGCTTCACTCATGAAGCTGAGAAAAGCTACTATTTTTAGCAGCATCCCACCTTAATCCAAAGTCTTAGTAGGTTTTCAGGAGCTTCACTCATGAAGCTTTTTGCAAAGTGGTTGTTGGGGAAAACACAACTCACAACAACTCATAAAGTCGTTGGCGAAGCTATGCCAAATAGGACCAAACAAGCTCCTAAATTTATCAACTAATACATAGTTTCTAACCCGTGTTTTGAACATGGGTTGGTTAGAAGTTATCCAAGCAATTAGTGCTCCATTTTGATGAGCCTGGTGTATGTGTATGTACTGCGAAAGGGCCAGTAGCCTAGTTGTTACAAGAGTCTCAGTAGCATCTTAGGTCCTGGGTTCGACTTTCTTTGGGAGAAAATATTTCAGGTTTTAATGGTGTTGTGCTTTTTAGTGGTAGGCAATGTTCCCACCAACAGCGAGGCGACTGTAGTGACTTAGTCAATTTCGAGAATTTGCCGGCCCAATCTTCGAAAGTGTTCATAGGGGTAGAGTTTGCATGCGTGCGTTCATAGGGGTGAGTGTCCGTGCGTTGTGAGTGTCTATGTCGCAAAAAAAAAACCTAGTGTATGTACTACGCCCTCCAATTTTTTACATGTTAGATTAAACAATATAGACTCATGACATAAGATATATGTTTTTAGATTCACTATAAGGAACTTTCATAATATATAATTTATGTGTTGTGAAACTATAAGTATTTTTTGAAATGGATGGTTAAAGGTAGTAATGTTTGACTTAGTACAAAGCTAATAAGACATGTAAAAAACGGAGGGAGTACGTTTAGAACTAGCTTGTGGCGCACTCAATTCTTGGTATGGTATTTAAAAACATGTGTTATATATATGCATTCTGAGTTTATGGATGTAATTATTTGTCTTGTTCTAATGAACACAAGGGAAAAATAAAATGAATAGGACCTATGGAGTATATTGCATCTTGTTTGAACAATGAGACCAGGAATTCATCAGTCCTACGTAATACTCCGTCTATTACCTAACCTGAAACTAGCTACCAGCTATTACATAATACTAATCAATTGATTATAAATAACATAATATATCATTTTGGGGTGCCGTAGAAATATTCCATGGGAAGATTAAGGTGCATTGCCACATCGTTGCTGATGGCTCCACACGAGGTCGGCAAATAAATAAAGCCAATGACGAGTAGGAGGAGAAGGTCTTTCTACTCTTTGAACAGAATATAAAGCAGACTGCTTTTTGTAGATAAAAGAGAGAAAGACCAGCTCCAAGTCATTATAAACCAAAAGCAATTTGCTCCTAAACTAGAAGCTACAGGATGTCATCGTCATGATGCAAGAGCATTAACATCATTCAAAATTTCGATGATGTCCTATGACACGCAGGGACAATGACTGATTAAGTTACAAATTCTTTTTGGTTGAGATGATACATCGTTCCAAATTGATGGCATCGTTAATTAATACTCATTATTGCTCTACTAAAATAACAAATTCTTAAGACAGATGACATGTCCGTAATCTTGTGCATTCTGAATTACTTTAGCTATATATGTATTTACCAGTGAATATAGTGGGACGAGAAAAATGGACTACAAAAATAGCTTTATTTGAGGTACCTGTTCTCTGCACAGAGTGAAAGATAGAAGAGTAGCCTGGAAAAGAGGGAGATAATGATGCCACCAACATCCAAACAGCTACTAGCGGCCATGACGTGGCACTGCGAATCTTGCTAGAGTAAAGGCGCTCCTATGCCTTTGCTTGGCCTGCCTCCTTCGAGTATCAAATTCGGGCTTGCCTGACATTGTGTCTGTTACTTGGCATCTTCGGTGAACTGGACAAATGGGTAACAATACTCAAATTCAATTTGCTGCTATGAGATTGTAAAGCATCTTGGTTAGGTGCAGATTAGGTATAGACCCTAGACCTCGAGGTCAGTCATCGATGGAAACAAATGAATTTTATATCTTGGAAACTGACAGAGCAACCACTGGTCTTTTATAAGATGAAAAGGATGCAAAAATTAGATTTCGTTATTATATACCAAGTTGTCACGTAGTAGTCCGATGGTCTGAGGGTTCAACTTCGTGTTATGTTCAGCCGATCAGCCAGACCTCAGCGATATTAACGAATTTTGTGATTTTCAGTGATTTTTCGCTGCAAAATAATTTGAACAGCTGATTCGAATAACGATCTGTCTTTTTAACCAAAATTTATCTGAAAAAATAGAAATTTTTGGGTTCAAGTTGGTTGAAGTTTCAGCGATTAACACACTCACACAGATTACTGTCTTTTTCTTCAATGGTTCATAGCAAACCCACATTGCAGATTAAAAGTACTATACTAGAACTTACCGTTGAGGGCATTTTTTCAGTTGAGCTGCTGCTCGAGTTTTGCTCTCTGGTGCTGTTTTGCTGGAAGCCAGGAGATGAGCTGCTGGTGCTGTTTTGCTCATATATGGACTTAGATAGCGAGCACCGAGGTTAGTAAGTTGCTCTTTACACTCGATCAATTTCTCGCTTGTTTTAACAACGTCAGCCAGGTGGTGGTCCAAAGCGGGAAATCTGTTGTTTGTGGCACAACTGCAAAAATAAATGTGCTGAAACAGAAAAACGAACAGGGTTGTAGTATGCTAGTGGATCGGCCCAATGCAATTCGATCCTTCAAGCCGTACACTGTTCTTTTTGGCCCAGGACTATACGTGCCGCACCCCCACAGGGACGGTCTTCCGTGGGCACGATGGGCTCAGCGTTGCAGACCTGCAGTTAAGCCGGTCCAACACGAACGTTAGGTTTCGCACGAGGGAGGCATCGACGAAGCAGCCGTGCGTGACTTCGTCGCGGCGCATGTGGTCGGTGCTGAGGTACAGTGGAGGTTTCTTGACGATGCCGCGGTGCGGATGTTGAAGGTGGTCACCATCTCTAGCAACGCCCTCTGCATGGACGACTTCATCTTGAAGTTCGCCACCATCTCTAGGAACGCCTGCCAGTCCTCTTGTCGTCTCTGGTGGCCCAGTCGCTTCTCCAACTTCTGGCCCAGCCAATCATCTTGACTTGCCCAACAACGCTGGTCTTGGAAGCACCGGTGTCTTCAGCAGGTATGGTGAATCGTGAGAAGCACAAGCATGTGCTGCTTTCACTTGTGTCGTGCAGTTTTCTGATGATACAAGGCTTATTAATTAAGTTTCTGAAATTGGCTTCGTCATTCCTCAATCTGACCAGCATTGTGCTGACGTTTCTTCATGGCGACGACAATCATTTTGCATACAAGTGTCCTCTGGGCTATACGTCAGACCATGGTGACAGATATGGATCAAGCTCTGTTGGTTATAGAACAAACTGCAATATGCATGAGGTACACTGTACATGGTTATAGAACCAAGAGAAGCTCTGCATCAGAAAAAACAAGACACAAAAAAGTGACGATGAAAGCAGCTGAATGTTCCTCCATTAATTTTGCAAAGCACAGTATATGGCACAAACTTAATTGTACGTACATGACCCCATAAAAAACTAGAAAGACAGCAGCTCGGCATGATCAAGTTTTACTAAAGGTCATAGTAAATTGAAACCTAGAACAAGCCAAGTGGGTCTACAGAGATTCAGAGAGCATGATCCAATACACAAGAACAATGTTGCTGCAATAAGCATGGCCATTGACGTCGATCGCACAGTAAGGCTGGATCGCGAACAGAGGAAATGCTGGGGTTCTTGCTCAATCTACTGCAATGGACACACGTGGTGGAGACAGTAAGCAATGGCCCATTGGCGAATATATCATGGATGAACTTGTTCTAGGTAGTGGCTAAGGCCGTACCGATGTACATCCAACCATTACCTGGGACATGTACACGACAAACAATTAGCATCATTTACCAATAAACTCGGAATTTCTATGAGGACGGCCACATTGATTTCGGAATACGCTGTGCAAAGAAGAAACAGAGTTCACAACTAGATTGTGCGATCACCAGTTGTGCTAGTAACAAATGAATAAAAAGGATAATTAGAAGCATAACAAATGTAAAAGATTCTTAGAGACATAAAACTAGAATAAAATAGTAGGGAAAACAAGGTTATTTGTCATGGTCAGTTAGGGGTGAACATAGGGGCATCCATGGAAGTGGTAACTAGAAGCATAACAAATGTAAAAGATCCTTAAGTCAGTCTTAATGGGGATTTCATGGCCCTGTTATTAATGCATCCATATTTTAGAAATAGTGCAGAAGAGTTTCATCCTCATAAAAACTCTCTCTACTCCCATGAAACTCTTATCATCTCTCTTCATCAATACGGTGCCACATCAGCCTATTTAATGCCCATGAAACTCTGATGAAACCCCACTAAGACTGGTCTTAGAGCCATAAAACTGGAATAAAATAGTAGGGTAAATAAGATTATTTGTCATGGTAAGGTAGGGGTGAACTCAGGGGCATCCATCGATGTCATAGTACTTATGGCGGCATGCAGAAGATTATTAGACAGGCTACAATAAGGGCAGTCCCAATGGAAGAAACTGATACGGTTTTCATAGCACAAGAAATCATCTATTGAAACTACCTTCCACAGTGGAGGTGTCTTTGTGTAATAATTATTTTCTCTTTCTCTCTCCCAACTCTATTTTCTTCCTCCAATGGGAGTGTGGCACGAGCCCCATGGAAACTGGTGGTTTCTCTCCAATGACGATTTCATAGTTTCTTGGTGCATTGGGTCAAGAGACGACCTGATTTCTTCATGAGGAAACCATTTCTAGGATTTTTACTCTCTTTCTTCATTAATTACGTTACCATATCAGCATTTTGCCTACGTGGCAAGTCATTTAATGATGATAGAAACCATCATCAATACACCATTGGGGCTACCCTAGTAGGTGGCTAAAAAAAGTTATTGGACGGGCTAAAGAACCGGAAAAAGGAAGAGGATTACGTACATGCAAAGCAGGATCCATTGGCCATCAATTCCCATACAAATTTCAGGATGGTTGGGGTGGGCACGTGCCTCGTTCCTCAGCGCATCTTTTACTTTCATTGCCAACTCTTCACTGACTGTCTCGTCTCCATCAAGGTGAACCCGAACTGTACGAAGGGACGGAAGGTGGCTTATGGTCAGGTCGTCAACAGTAAATTCACTATCCCCGAAATCCTCTGCTCGGATATAGAATTGAAAACGTTGAAGCATGGGCATAGCTCCAGGTGGGAACATAGATGGCACCGTTGAAAACCCAGAGAATTTGCACCGCGTCAAACATGGGAAGGCATCTGCCCTAATCATGAACCTTTCAAACACTTGTTTGGCGCCAGCCACTTTCACGTCCAGAACACGAAGAGCCTGCAGCATGCAGAGGACTTGGATGTCCTCACTTCTAACTTGACCCACCTTTATGCGCAGGTAGGATAGGAGGAGAAATGACGCGGGATCGATCCATGTCGGCAACCGACTGGTTCCATAAATAACAAGCCGAGATAGGTTCCACAGGGAGTCCACTGAGCGTTCAAGATCAACTTCCACGTCATCTGAGATTACTACTTTTAGAGTTTGGATTTTGTGTAGTTTGCCAAGGGACCCCAACAGAACTCTGCACATGCTTTCATCCCATCTGCCTTCCTTGTAATTTCTGAGCATAACCCATAGCACCCTCAGTTGCGTCAGATGGCCCAGCTCTTCTGCAATGTTTGTAGAATCCACATTCATGTGTAGCTGCTCCAGAGATGATAGATTTCTCAACCCACTTGTGGTTGGCAGCCTTGAACTGTCCCCAACATCAAGGCTCATTAATTGTCTCAGCCTGAAGATACTCAATGGCACTTCTTTTATACAAGTTCCTTGGAAGTCCAATGTCTGCAAAACTGTAGCTTCCCTATCTCCCTTGGGAGCTCGCCAGCATATCCAGTATCTGCTAGGCTTAGATACCTCAGGTGAAATAATATACCAACAAACTCTAGACTTGGATGATGATGAAGATTGCAATCTTCAAGATCCAGTACACGCAGAAGATTAAAGCATGAAAGGGGTGGCATAGTGTTAATTAAAACATAACTGCTGATAGTAAGGGACCTCAATTTTGACATGTTGATTGTAGGCCAACTAGTATTGTGGATAGAGAGCCTGCGAGCCTTGTTTTCTGAAGATGTCATTTGCATGCAGTCACCACTTATGGTGGTAGAAAAAATTTTCTTCTCTCGACAAGGAGCAAATGAGATCAAGCACCATATCATGAACCCGGCAAGAAAAAGGATTCATCTCATCCTCATCCATGTCTGCTGGCTGGATCAGGCTTCTATTTAGAAGCCCATTGAAATAACTCTGTCCAATCTCATATAAGCTCTGCCTCCCATCTCCTTGTTGGACAAATCCTTCAGCTATCCACCTCAGTATCAACCGATCCCACCAAATGGCATAATCTTCCGGAAATATACTTAGGTACAGTAAACATGTCTTTAAAGTGGGTGTCAGATCATAATAGCTAAGCAGCAATATCTTCCTCATACCATCAATGCTAGGATTGTTTGCTAGTCCCTTACCAACTGACTCACACACGTCATACCACACTTTTATATTTCTTGACTTATTAGCCAGCAAGCTAGATGTTGTAAGAATAGCTAATGGCACACCTCCGCATTTCTTCAAAAATTTTTGAGATACATCAGAAAACTGTTTAGGACAATCGCTTTCGGAGCCAAATATCCGTCCATAGAATAACATTTTGGAGTTGAGGTGAGTAAGAGGTTTCAGCTTGTAGCAACCGCCAACATGCTCAGCAACATCAATTATGCGTGTAGTTGTGATTATTCTGCTTTTCAGGACATTCTCAGGTAGAGCACATCTTATTATCTCCCATGGTTCTGTATCCCATATATCATCTATAACAATGAGGTACCTACAAGTATGTAGCAATTGAGCATCTTGTAAAGCATAGTTACAGATGATTTGTAATATAAGCATATATATGACAATAAAAATCGCATAGGTAAGTAATAAGAATTTGCTTGGACAACTTATACAAAGTATAGAAATAAGTCCATTGTTACCCTTTTCTAGTATTTTTCTGATTCCTCCCCTAAACACCTAAAGTTACACAGTTAGCATTAGGATGGTATGCGCTCGGATGATATGGCAGCAGCTTTCGCTATAAATTGGTTTTGTTTTGGCAAATTCAGTACAGTAGCCTAAATTCTATCCTTTGCAAGGTATCTACTCAGTTACCCACTGCCTCAAAAATAATGTTAAACACTGGTTCCACTAGGTGGGGTATGGTGAAGACAAAAGAAGGCAATGCAAGTTGAATAGCATAATGTTAAAATTTCATTGGGCATTATAATATGGAAAAAGAAGATACACACACACGCCACACATACTCATTGACGACTGTAACCTACAATTCTACTGTTGGCAGTACCACACAAGATAGTACATACCTCTTATTTTTGAGGAATTCATGGACAAGATCGGTGAGATGCTGTTGACCCAATGCGGTGTTGTGGATGTCCTTGTACTCTTTCTTGTCAAGCTCATAAAGAATGTCCTTCAGAACTTTCATAATGTCCGGATCACGAGACACTGATACAAAAGCCGTGCAATTGAATTGCGGTTTAAGCTTGTCATAAACTGCTTTAGCAAGCGTTGTCTTGCCTAGTCCTCCAAAGCCAACAATAGAGACTATCCTTTGTTCAGCAGACGACATGCCACCATGTTCTCTTGTCAACCGCGATATCAGCTCTTCCCTTGGCTCATCAATGCCAACAAGGCTAGCCGCTTTAGTGTACAGAGCTGTTATGCGAGGGTCCACTGAGGTTTTGGTAGGAGCAATAGCATCAACCTTGTACCTGTGTAGGGAGATGAAAATACCAGAACAAAGAGGCAAATAAAAGAAAATTTTGGTGAAATTCAAATGTGAAGTCTGTGATGTCCCGGCCCTGACCTGTCACGTCGCTCGGCCACGTCCTTGACACGCTCCTTGATGTCCTTGATCGCTTGGCTAATCTCATGGATAGTCTTGGCCTTCCCCACAATAGTTGTCATCTTCTTGATGAATCTTTTGATGCTCCTTTTGCTGGGAGGTTCAGAGCCTTGAACACGCACAAAGAAGGTGTCAACTATGTCCTCCATGTCATAGGAGAGCTCCCGAACATCCCGAGCCCAGATCTTGACTGCTTCTTTAAGCTGCGCCTGTGGCACCTCTCCAATGTCGCGGAGGGCGGCACGCATGCTCTCGAGTTCTCTTGTGACGAACACGATGTCCTTCTTTACTCCCTTGTGCAGGTTGTACTCATCCTGGAGCAGCTGGCCAAGTTTCGGAAGCAGGGTGCCCAGCGTGGATCCAGTATAGTGGCACTGATGTCAGGTGACAGCAGTTGCATTTGGCCCGGCCCAGGTATACTCCTCTGTATTGGATCAGATGACAGCAGCCCAAAATCTCCAATGACATCAGTGCTCTCAGCCCACATCAAAGAATCCTCCGTCGTCCAGCCTCTTGGCCTCCGTTTCCTTCTCCACGAAGGGTTGCAGGCTTGCAGTGAAGCCGAACGACACAAACGAGCGCCGACTCCGCGACTCGCCGAGACGAAAGCCGCACGTGACGTCGCCTCATTCCAGAAGCGGCCGGCGGCGAGCAACAGCATCAGTCATCCCCATCGGCTGCCAGCCTGCAATCCTGCATCAATCGTTTCACTCCGTCGTAAGGCTGTGTACTCAGCAAAGTGAGGCAGGTAAGGTTTTCCCTGTATCCTGATTCGTTTGGGTTTTTTTTAATTTATTGATTGGTGATTTAATTTAACCATTAATTAATTATACAGCTAGCAAGGTAGAGGAAGCAAGAATTTGATGGATCAATTCTTGAAAAGAAAAGTACCACCAGCGGCCAGTGATGAAGGGACTTCACAGGGAGATGTTGGTGCATCAAACATCAATGCTACAGCTACAGGTCGTCCTTCTTTGATACTATCACCAAAAGATGTTAATTTAGATGATCTTTTTGATGATCCAGCTGATAGGAAGAATAATTGAATATCCTGGTCTTAAGCTACGAGAAGAGATAAGGAGAAGATATTTGATTAGAGGTCCTCATAGACCACAACCTAATTTCAAGTATCCGCAATCAATCATAGCAAATGTTCCACGACGGTTTAATCCTGAATGGTTTAAAAAATATGATTGGCTTGAGTATAGTGAGAAGGTGGATAAAGCCTTTTGCCTATACTGCTATCTGTTTAGAGACTGCATTGAAGGACAGGGTGGAAATGATGCATTTGTAACAAAAGGATTTTCTTTATGGAATATTAAAAAAAGACTAGACATTCATGTAGGAGGGATAAATAGCTATCACAATGCAGCTGTGAAGCGATGCAACAATTTATTGAGGCCAAGCCAATCCATTGAGTTTGCACTCAGCAGACAGAGAGATATTGCTAAAGAGGAGTATTTTATTCGACTAAGTACTTCGATAAATGCTGTTAGGTATCTGTTACATCAAGGATTAGCTTTTCGTGGTCATGATGAGAGCAAAGAGTCCGGTAACAGGGGGAATTTTCTAGAGTTGGTGAAACTTTTGGCAGAGCAAAATGAAAAGATAAAGAAGGTTGTTCTAAGAAATGCTCCTGAAAATCATCAGATGGTAGCTCCAGAAATCCAGAAAGACATTGCTAATTGCTTTGCAGAGGTAATATTGGTTCCATTCAGGCCTGGTTCCATTTTCTTTTTTACAAAAGATGTTTGAACCCAATGTAATAGTAAAATGATCTATAATGTGTTTTGTGCTTCTGTACAGGTCATAGTGAATTCTATCATTGAAGAAATTGGTGGTGATGTATTCTGTCTGTTGGTCGATGAGTCTGCTGATGTTTCAGACAAGGAACAGATGGCTGTGGTTTTGCGGTATGTTGACAAATGTGGAGTACTCAAAGAAAGACTTATTGGTGTTGTTCGTGTCAGCGAGACAACATCTGCATGTCTCAAGTCTAATATTGATGATTTATTTGCCAAGTATAAATTGAGTTGGAAACAAGTTAGAGGCCAAGGTTACGATGGAGCAAGCAACATGAGAGGTGAGTTCAATGGATTGAGAGCTTTGATAATGAGAGAGAATAGTTCAGCATATTATGTCCACTGCTTTGCCCACCAACTTCAGTTAGTTATTGTGGCAGTAGCTAAAAAGAATGATGACATTGATGATTTCTTTGACATGATATCTCTTCTTCTTAATGTGGCTGGAGCTTCTTGCAAGAGAAAAGACATGATACGACAAAGTCAACAAGAGAGGGTGAAGAAAGCAATAGGGAGTGGACAGATTTGTACTGGAACAGGACTGAATCAGGAACAATCTCTTCAAAGACCTGGAGACACTCGTTGGTGCTCTCACTATAAGACCCTTAAGAGTCTTAACAGCTTGTTTCCTTCTATTATTGAAGTTCTTCAATATGTGGAAAAAGATGGCCCTAATGATAAGAAGAGGCGTCAAGCGCGTGGTCTCCTAGATTATCTCAAGGATTTTGATTTTGTGTTTCATTTACACTTGATGTTAATTATATTGGGGCATGCAAATTCTTTGTCACTTTATTTGCAAAGGAAAGATCAGGATATATTGGAGGCCATGTCAAGAGGTAAAGTTAACCAAGCAAAAATTCCAGCAGATTAGAGATGATGGATGGGAATCTTTATTAGAGACAATATATTCCTTTTGTGAAGAGCATGGTATTCCTAAGTTGGACATGGAAGAAGAGTATGTTGATCGCCATAAACCAAGGAAAAAGACAAACCGAACCAATTATCAGAACTACAGATGGGATTGTTTGAACTCAGTTGTGGATATGCTACTTACAGAGTTCAATGATCGGTTTGGTGAAACAAATTCTAATTTGCTCACTTTCATGGCTGCTTTTAGTCCTAAAGATTCTTTTGCTGATTTCAAATTGGAGAGCTTATTGGAATTGGCTAAACTCTATCCTGATGATTTTAGCCCTGATCAATTAAAGGATCTTGCTCATAAGCTGCCTATTTACATTGACAATGTGCGAGCTGATGAAAGGTTTTCAGGATTGAATACTATTACAGAACTTGCTAAACTGATGGTGGATACAAAGAAGCATCTTGCTTTTCCATTAGTCTATCAGCTCCTAAAGCTAGTACTTGTTTTGCCTGTTGCCACTGCATCTGTGGAGAGGTGCTTCTCGGCCATGAAAACTGTGAAGACGATATCACGTAATCGTATTGGCAACAAGTTTATGAATGATTGCATCATTTGCTTTGTTGAGCCAGAGTTTCTAGCGACAATCCCGGACAATGTTATAATTGATCGCTTTCAAAAGATGGAAAATCGCAATCGGAAAATGCTTCTTTAAGAGGTAAATATTTATTATTGTTTCTAGAAACAATTCCAGACCGCTATTTACACTCGTTTATGTATTACTGTTCACTGTAAGTCGTTGTCATAAGTTGATAATTTTATATTGACATCAGTGACCCAAAATCTTAGATCCGCCCCTGCCAGCGCCCCTGTGGCAAACTCCATGGCTCCCAAGGTCACTACTGATTATTAGTATTCCAGAAACACATGTGTACGTGGATCTAGGGATCAGAAAAAGTGATGAACGGTGCTCAGATTATACTGCAGAAGCAGAGTTCATGCACTAAAGAATTTTATGCTGTGAAAGAAAATGCAACGGTTTGAAATAGAAGAAGCAGGATGGAAACGGTTCCAGAAGGAAACATGGTCGTTTTATGTCCAACAAATATGAAACAATTTCTATGTCAAAAGAATTCCATCTCACCAAGGTCTGCTGGAGGCGAGAGGGCGCCAGTAGTCACCAGTTGGGTTTGGGTGTGGGTGGGAGGGCAGCTTGAGGAATGGGGCAGGAATTTGCTCGAACGGAGACGCAGAGAGCATTTTAGCTAGCTGCGAAGGCTGCATAAACACATCTTATACTATTATTACTTAGGGCCTCAATACGCGCAAGAAAAAATAATATTAGAAACACCTAAAATAATAAAAAATATCTCAAGTTAACTTTTGCACTCTAATCATAATCGTCAATAATAACCATTGTTAGACTCTGTCACTCCAAAAAGAACATAAGCAACCCCTAATTTTTTATCAAATTAACCAAATATGCCTTTATGTAATAGGGTAAAGTTCACTTTAGGACCTCCAACTATCACAGAAGTATGGATTTCAACCTCCAACTTCAAAACCGGATAACATTGGCCCTCCAACTCTCGAAAAAGTTCACTTTATGACCCTGGCCGGTTTCCCTGGCGGTTTTGCATGGCACTGTAGCAGTGCTAACTTCAGCGATGACGTCAGCACTTCTTTTTAATTTGCAAAATTGATATCTTTTTATTCGGAGCTTCAAATATAGCAAATAATATATCAATTTTGATCGTCTCGACGAGCTCTTTGCAATGGTGTACTCCGTTTTGTTGTTTGAGATAATTTTATTTCATGAAAAAAATAAATATTTCTACAAAACAAGTTAGAATAACAGAACTCGTGGAATTTGTTAGATAAATAATATTTTTATTATTATGTAACACGAAATGTTGTCTTTTTAGGTTCATTTGACCATAGAATATATAAGTTTGACCATTTTTGAAATGCAATAATTCAAAACTTGTTTTGTAGAAATATTTCTGCTTCGTGTCCGCTTGGGTCCGCAAATATTTCGCAATAATTCAAAATATTTCTGCAATAATTCAACAAAGGCGCCGTGTTCGTCCGGTTACGGCTGCACGACACGAGCTTCGCTTGTGTGCTGCCACCACGCGCGTCGGGCGGGCGCGAGGGCGACGAGGCGCACCGCAACGCCGACATACGGAGATCCTCGCCGGACGACCTTCCTCATGGGCACGCGCTCAACTTACCGATGCCGCACAAGATTCTAGACCACGAGTAAGCCACTCACTATTGCTGCTACTGCTCCCTCAATTCAATCTAGCTATCCACCGCCACTTCATGCGGTCATACTCATGCCATGCCGGCCAGAAGCAGAATCATGCTGGTCGGCCGAATGGTCGTCCAGTTCTGTGTCTTTGCAATAGTAGCCATAGGAAAGGAAAAAGGACAGGTGTACACGAATCATATACTGTATCGGATTTGGGTACAAGATAAATATAATACTACTACTACCACTAGCTACTTAATTTCACCACAAAAACAGAAAAAAAACTACACTAGGAGCAGTAAACATATCGTTTGATCGTGTCATATGTTGACAGTTAGTTAACCACAGCTAGGGAAGGTTAATTCAAAAATATCTAAGCGATCGTGGCAGGTCTGATTGACCGTCCAACTCCCTGTTTTATATACTGACTACGTTGGTGTTGTACATATATAAATATACAAAGTATATAAAATACTTGCATACGTCAGCTTAATTGCATAACTTGTTTTGTAGAAATATTTATTTTTTCATGAAATAAAATTATCTCAAACAACAAAACGGAGTACACCATTGCAAAGAGCTCGTCGAGACGATCAAAATTGATATATTATTTGCTATATTTGGAGCTCCGAATAAAAAGATATTAATTTTGCAAATTAAAAAAGAGTGCTGACGTCATCGCTGACGTCAGCACTGCTACAGTGCCATGCAAAACCGCCTGGGAAACCGGCCAGGGTCCTAAAGTGAACTTTTTCGAGAGTTGGAGGGTCAATGTTATCCGGTTTTGAAGTTGGAGGTTGAAATCCATACTTCTACGATAGTTGGAGGTCCTAAAGTGAACTTACCCTATGTAATATAATATAATTCAAAATAACCCCTGAATCTGTACCTAAATTACTCACCTCTACCAATGTGAAAGATAATTCAAAATGACCACCAAATTTGCATCTGCATCTAAAATAGCAATCTTTGTTATTTTAAAAGATAATGAACTCTCTAAATTTGTGTCCAAATTACCATTGGTTTTGCTGGATATGCGTTTGCTGCTATGTTCAGTATGTTAGTAATCAATTTTGCATCTAGGATTAGATCACCTAGGCACATGTGTGATATCACAATTTTTTTATTTTTACCAAAACTTGCCTAAGTATCTGACAGGCAGAACCACGGCTAATTCGATTTGCATGAGATGGCGACGCTCTTTGAAGAAGCGGACATCCGGCTAGAAGCAGCAGCGTCATCACAATGCAAGATTGGCACAGTTTCTTAGCGCGCACTTTCACTAGCTTGGAAATGTGCACAAGACAGGGCAGCGTCACGTCACCATCATGTTGAATAGATGACGTCGACGCCTTGTCGCTCATGCTCTCGAAGCCATGAATTATTAGCAAGCAGCCAAGCAGGGGAGACCCGCGAGCCTGGGGTTATGAGGATCCGGAGGCTGGGGTGATGTAGTAGTACACAAGTATTATCCTGGTCGTGGCACATGCGAATGGGAGGCCGCAAATAATTCATGCTCCTCCTGCTCGCAGCGTCCACAACCTGCCTCTTGTCCTTCCACCTCCCATCCTAGTAGTAGGGATAGAAACGGATCGGATTCTCGTATAATCAAATCCGGATATCACTTGTTTATATATTTTAATTTGAATTAAACACAAATACAAATCCTTTATTAACACGATGACTCTACGCACTATTTCTACAGACATCGTTTATGCAAGAAGGCCCTCGTATTAGCCCGTCTTCGCATCGGAGAGGTCCCCGACGCCTCAGCGCTCGCCGGTGCGGCATTGACCGTCACTGGGCTGCTACGCCGACCAACTGGGGACCCCCCGACCCATCTAAAGGACTGATGCTCACCTACGGGCCAACGCGCAACAATGGGCAGCGATTCGGAGACCGTAGACGAAGTAGGGCGACTTCTCCACGTCGGCGGGCAACCTACGGTGGCGACGACAACGTTCCGGTGAACCACGGCGCTAAGGGAGCAGTAGAGGTAGCGGGTGAGCATCAATGACTCACCTAGGACCTAGCCGAGGCAATGGTTCGGCTAGAGACACCCCGAGCAAGGCTGGCCGCGTACGCGCGGCAAGCTCGGCGATGAGCTGCGGCAAACATGACCGCATCAGCAGCGTTGGGACATCGGTAGGGGTACGGCTCAGGTGCGCATGGTGAGGAGGGGTTCGAGGCGAATCTAGCAGTGCAGCCAATTTGGCCCGAGGTGGTCAGATGAGAGCTGCCCTCGGTGATTGGCGGACTCGGCCTTATCGGCATCGTGGTAGGGAAAGCTCCAAAATTGAAGCTCGATCGGGCGCCATTCAAGGCAGGGTGAGAACGGGTAGCTTTGTAGCTTGATAACGGAGTGAGCGACGTGACGAATCGACTCGAGGTGATCTCTCCCTGACGAATTTAATGGCGCGGCTCGGCCATGGTAGTAGCGAGGGGGAGAGAGAGAGGTAGGTGGGCTCAACTCGACCACATCTTGTTGGGATGCAGTCAACATGATTGGGGAGACACGCGCGAAGACGCTATGATAGAACGCGTGTGTCCATGACCGGACACGGCCCGCGCAGCCGCAGTGCCATAAATAGCAAGACGACGGTGAGCACAGCCATGTGCGTGTAGCAATGGCGGGCATCGGACCGGTCCAGCTGCGGCGTAGAAGTGCTGGGGAGGGGGGTGCGGACATGATGGCGAGGCGACGGCACCTGCAGCAGCTGCACCACGGTGCAAAGAACGGAGGGCAGCAGCACCACGAGGATGCGGGGCCGCAACGGTAGCAATGCAGCAGCGGGTGCGGTAGGGTGGTCGCCGGGCGCTGTAGCCAGCGGCTGGCAGCAGCCACTGCGGCCAAGGGTGGCCATGCAGCGGCCAAGCTGCGACCAGACCGAGCGCGGCCTCGGCCGGCCGGCGTGTGGCCACGCGCGGTGACCACGCGCCCAGGCCTGACGGCCCGAGCCTGAATGCGTGCACGAATTTTAAAGCACCCATA